CTCTCTCAAAATAAATAAACTTTAAAAAAAATTTTTAAAAACAGACATATAGATCAATGGAACAGAATAGAGAGACCAGAAATAAACCCACGCATATATGGTTAATACACAATAGAAAAGCCAAGAATATACATTGGAAAAAGCACAGTCTCTTCAATATATATGTTGGGAAAACTGGACAGCCACATGCTAAAGTATGAAACTGGACCACTAATTTACACCATACACAAAAATTAACTCGAAATGGATTAAAGACTTGAATGTAAAACTTAAAACCATAAAACTCTTAGAAGAAAACACAGGCAGTAAGCTCCCTGACATAGGTCTTAGAAATGATTTTTTGGATTTGACACCAAAATCAAAAATAAACAAGCGGGACTACATCAAACTAAAGAGTTTCTGCACAGCAATGGAAACCATTAACAAAATGAAAAGGCAACCCAGTGAATGAGAAAAAATATTTTCAAGTTATATATCTGATAAGGGGCTAATATCCAAAATATATAAAGAACTCATAAGATTTAATAGCAAAAAAACAAACAATATGATTAAAAAATGGGCAGTGGATCTGAACATTTTTCCAAGGGAGACATATAGTTGGCAAGGGGTACATGAAAAGACACTCAACACCACTACTTATCAGGGAAATGCAAAACCACAATGAGATATCACCTGACACCTGTTAGGATGGATATTATCTAAAAAACAAGAAATAACAAGTGTTGGCAAGGATATGGAGAAAAGGTAATACTCGTGCACTGTTGGTGAGAATGTAAATTGGTGCAGCCACTATGGAAAATACAGAGGTTTCTCAAAAAACTAAAAATAGAACTACCATGTGATCCAGCAATTGCACTCACTTCTGGGTATTCATCCAAAGAAAAGAAAACACTAACTTGAAAAGATACATGAACGGCCATGTTCACTGCAGCATTATTTATAATAGCCAAGACTTGGAAATAATCTATATGTCCATCAATGGATGAATGGCTAAAGGAAATGTGGTGTACACACACACACACACACACACACACACACACACAAAATCACTGAGCCATAAAAAAGAAAGAAATCTTGTCATTTGTGACAGCACGGATGGAACTTGAGGGCATGATGCTAAGTGAAAGAAGTCAAACAGAGAAAGAAAAATACCATATGATCTCATTTATAAGTACAATCTTAAAAAAATTTTTTTTAGTTTCAAAAACCAAGCTTATAGATACAGAGAACAGATTGATGGTTGCCAGAGGTGGGGGTGGGCAAAATGGGTGAAGGAAGTCAAAAGGTACAAGCTTCTAGTTATAAAACAAATAAGTCACAGGGATATAATGTACAGTACGGTGACTATAGTTAATAATACTGTATTGCATATTTCAAAGTTGCCAAAAGAATAAATCTTAAAAGTTCTCATGATACGGAAAAAAAATTCTGTAACTACATGTGGCAATGGATGCTAACTAGACTTCCTGGGGTAAGTATTTCACAATATACACAAATATCAAATCATTATGTTATATGCCCGAAACTAATATATTTATGTCAATTATGCCTCAATAAAAATATATATAAATAAAATTCTAAAAGTTACTTTAAAATTTACAGGACGCAGGAAAGAGAGAAGATGATCACTTACAAATTTAGTCAAATGTGCACAGAGAGGAATCAAGTCACCATCACTGCCACTTCCCCAAATCCGCCATCCACATTATCAACTATGAATAGCTACTTGATCGGTATGATAAAGAACAGTCAATGACATGGAGAGATCCCTAGCTATTACCAAAAGCGTTATGGGGCAGAACTGAAAGGATGAAAAGGAAAGAAGAAAGAAGAAAGGGAATGAGTATAATTTGAGGGAACAGTTCCTAAGTTAACAATCTTCTTCCAAAACTAGAAGACTTTAGATTCAGAGATATGGACTCATGATCCACCATAAACTGTGCCTGCTGTTTATTAGATCTTAGGCTACCTACTCTAGGAAGAGCAAAACACCTGCCATCTTTTGCATATGCAAAACAGCAGGTCAGATGTGTCCTGCATCTCTCATCCTTGAGAATCACAGAGAGCTAATGGTATGTGTCCTGGGAAATAAACGGTTGGACTCAGTTAGAAACACTGTGCCCGTCATTTATAACAGTATTTTTTGCCCTTAATTTCTCAAGTACCAATATGTAGCTTCAAATAAAGCCTGGGGGATGTGGTGGTGGTGTTGGAAATCCTTGAATTGCATTTTAGTGGAATTTCTGTCATCCTTTAGAAGCAAATATCTTTCTTAATAAAGCCTCTTCAGCTCGCTTGGAGGGAATGCCTTCTCAAAAAAAAAAAAAAAAATTAACTATCCCATGCTCACAAAACCATGGGTTCATTGCCTTGTCATTAGGATAAGGTATCACTCCAAAATAATGACATTGCTAATATATTTTCTCTTTTCAAGGCAATCTGAGTCCTATCTAATTCAATTATTGAAACTCTTTTCTGGTCACGTCACAATAAAAAAATCATGTTTCAAGAACCTCAATTTTTAAAATAGGCTCAAGCAACCCACTCTCCTTACAGTTTAGTTCTGCCCAACTTTTCTAACACAGGAAGAAGAGGTTCAGAAACGTTCAGTTTCTCCACTGCAGATGGATTTGCTAGGTCATCCAATGACATCCCTATCTTGGAGAAATTATCTAAACAATGAACAAACACACAAACAAGACCAAAACAAAAGAAAACAGAAAACTAGATGCATAGAAAGTCAGATTTCGAATATACAGTTATATTTTGTTCTACCTCCTTTTCTAGCTTTCTGTCGCTCTGCTGTTTGCCCAGCACACAAATGACCAGTCTCATGCTACATTCTGTTTGGTCTATAATAAACATGCAACAAACTGCATACGTTTGATGATCTAAAAATGACAACAGAGATCTAATACAGTCATTTCAAAATAAACAATTGCCAAGTTCTTCCATTTACCCAAAACAGAGATCAGCAGCCTAATTTAAAACTAAACAAACAGCATTTTCCCCCTCTGAAATTATAGTACAAGACCTAGTGCTAAAACCTTTGTTTACCTACAAAATAAAGTATTATCTATGATCTAGAGCACCTTCAGAATGTTGAGTCAACTTTTTAAATGTATAATATTCAGTATTTTTTAGTCCTGGTTTTCAAAAACTTTGGGGAAACAAATATTTGCTTTTGACTTTTCTCCTGTTTAATCCTCCACTGTAGGCCATATCCCTTGCTAGTGTATCTATCTCACCTTGGTGGGCAGAACTCTCAATCCACATCACTGAATGGAACAGTGTGGCTCCCTAGTGCAAATTTCCTTAGAGTCCCTGCCCTGAGCATGTGCCAAGAATCAAATCTTGGCCACTTAGTGCTCTGTGCTCCACATGTGAGCTCACGGCGCGTTGAGCAGCCGTGCTAACGGAGATGGATAGCCCTGTCAAACAGGAAGCTGGCACACCAGGATGCAAGCAGTGGGATACAGTGACCTTTACATTCAGAAAAAAATATCCTTAAAATGGCATGAAAAGTTTCGGAGGGGGGTGGGGGCGATGGGGGGATTCCTTTATTTCATTCAGGCAAATAGCATAAAATAAAAGCAGGGGTGCCCGGTATGGAATTTGCTCAGGATTAAATCTTGAATCCCTTACACAAGAAAAAAAGGAAATGAATCATCCTTTATCACACTGCTCTGAAAGCAGTGCGCTGGACAATTCAGCTGTTATCACTGCACCCGACAGGCCAATCACACAGATTCAGACCACACTTAGACTTCCAATAATCCACGGGGTACCACCTGCCCTGGGAAAACATTCTTGACCCCTGGTTTCAGATGGGCTGCTTTCTTGGTAGAATTACAATCTAATTTAAAGACTGAAACATTTTTCAAACAGTGATGATCTGCTTACAGAATCAGTCAAGAGCTTGGATACTAAATCCCATGTCCTTGGTTGCCTTACCTGTAAACTTTGTATGTATTGTTTAATCTCTCATAGTTTCCTCATCTGAATAAATGGAGGCTTTGACAAGGGGCTCATAAAAAAAAAAAAAGTTGCAAAAATCTGTGGCACATATACACAAATGTTAAGTAAGAATAGTAATATAGAAAATGAATATGCAAAGCGAGACCTGGAGGTAACCTATTGCTTTCCTTCGGTTATAAGGATTATCATAAACTATAGGATTCAGTCATTTCAGCTGAAATACAATAATAATCATTCCACTGGGTCAAAAAGTTTTCTTCCATTTTCCCAGGTTTGGGGGATGTTTTTGTCTTTTGTTTTTTGTTTTTTTTGTCAGTTCTCTGCCATGAAAGAACAATGGGCTATGCTGCAGAGTGAAGCAACACAAACTCACAATGTGCTCCCCAGTGCTCTACGATAACGTGCAGAAATGATGATGCAATTTTAATACTTAATTACATAGATACAGTGAATTGATCACAAAGACACTGAGGGGAGTTTTTTTGTTTTGTTTTGTTTTTTTGTTTTTTACTGAATGGACTACACTAAAACTACAGAGCAGTTTTCAAAGATAACAAAAGTATGATAAAATGTACCCATTTTTTTTCTACTTAATTAAAAGCTAATTGTAAAGTGCAGAAGCTATAGGCGCAAAGCAATAAATAAATTTAGAAAACTGAAAGCTTATAAATCACGTATTAAAGTTTGGAGAAGTTAGGATCAAACATCTCAACGCTCTGAGAACACCAGTTTTGGGACTTAGAGAAAGTAACAGAGCTTTCCATGCCAAAAAAACCCTATGATGATCACTTTAAAATGCAAGTTTATTTTGGTGGCTCTAAAGGTGCCGGTCAAATATTTCCCAAAGCAACCAGAAAACAAAACTCAGCAAGAAACGTTCTGCTATTCACTGTTTGGAAAAGATGTTAAATCTGACCATTCTCCTCCAACCCATGTTTGGAGAATTATTTCGGGAAACACATTCTTCCTCAAATCTTGACACAACGAGGCGTGGGGAGGAGAAAGGGGATATGTGTTAATACCTTGTGCCTGAGCTGCGGAGCTGTGGGAGTACCCCAGGGCCAGGAGCGCGGTCTCCACCAGCTGGCTAAAAAGCACATCTTTTCGAACCAGGACAAACTCTGCATGTTCTTCTCTGTTGTCATATTCAAGAGAGCCATCCAACTGCTCCACCACACAAAAGACAGGAATCATCAAACCTGGAGAGACAAAATTCAAGAGCAAAACACAAATATTACAAAGCAAATCTCAGTCACCATGATGAGAAGGGAAGAGGCAGTTATAAAAGTTACTCATCTGTGATCGACAATGGTTTAGATTAAACAAGCCTCTTAGTTGGATGGGTCTAATGGGAAAGCTGGGGATGTTTTTCCCCTTCCTTATTACTCTCAGACTGCAGCAGAATTGCCTCGGGTGATGGCAGAAGCCCTCAGATTCCAGTCATTAAAAAGTGGAGTGCACCAATGAGGTGTCCTGACTGAGACCCTAACTCCACAGCCGGCATATAGCTGAGGTCAAGGTGACCTTCTAGACCCTTACATCCTTCATGTCTATGGTTTCACCATTAACTGTCAATCAGGACTAGTATTTCCAGATCAGATTTGCTTCTGTCTGTAAATATAAAAGACCTAGTAGAGAGGCATATTTGATTTCACGGTCTAAGCTATCATGTGAATATGTACAAGAAAGTCAATGGGAACTTTTTTTTTTAAGTTTATTTATTTATTTATTTTTGAGAGATAGAGCACGCAAGTGAGGGAGGGGCAGAGGCAGAGAGACTCCCAAGCAGGCTCTGCACTGTCAGCACAGACCCCACGTGGGGCTCAAACCCATGAACTGTGAGATCATAACCTGAGCCGAAATCAGGAGTCAGATGCTCAACCATTGAGCCACCCAGGTGCCCGTCAATAGGAACTTTTTAAAAGTCCCTTTTATAGCTTTTATTTTTCTACATCTTGGTAAATAGGGCATCAATTAGCCTGAAAATACCCTGCTCCTGAAAATCTTAACTGACATTTAACTTGTATCAAAATATGCATCCACATGTAAAACTCTTTCTTTAAGTTATTATTTTATATATTAACACCAGTTACCACTACAAAGGGAACTATCTCTTCTTGTGTTTTCAGGGAAAAGAAGTAAACTACCCTAAAGAATAAAGCAAATTAGTCTAGTTGAAAATCTGTTGAAATCTGTTGTCACTGAAATATTTCTCTGCTTTGTATCAAAGTGTGAAAAGCTAAAAAATGTTTAATTCGCCAAAGATTTTTTTATAAACTGTTTTTTATTTTTAAAAAAGTCATACAGGCATTTAAATCTAAACATAGCCAAGGCATAAGAAGATCAAAGTTTTACCAACATACAAGTAATAAACATGGACTCTGCCCCACGTAATTCACACAAGTTAGTACTTTATAGAAGAAGATCTGTTCTGGGTCTTCTCTCTTTGTGCAAAAAAACACAAAAGTTATGAAGAATAGGTGGGCAGGCTGAGAGATGGGGTGGTGGACAACGAGCTGGTCATTGCTGAAGGCACTTTACAATAAAAATAAGACTTCTGGGTAAATGAGGTATGGGAGTCCCGCCTGTGACACCAGGACTGCACAGTTCTTCTAGAAGCCCCTCCCGTTGCCTAGACCCTAGAAGCCTCCTGACTCACTCTGATCTGGAAAGCAGAGGGTGGGAGCAGACACTGCAAACTACCAGCTCACAGATGTAGATTTTTGTTCTAAAGATAATACAATGGTGCCACTGGTTCCCATGTGCTAATTATTATTATTAAAGATAATAAGTATAGGGTGTAATTATTAAATATAATCATTATTAACAATAATAACACTCATTAAGAACTGTTATCACTAAGGATCATGGTAATTATTATTAAGCCAGCACAACAGGCTAACAAGTCACACCAAACTATCCCCTGGACAACTACAGACTCTGTATTTGCTCTTAAGAACAGTAAGGGAGCATTACTGTTTGTAGCAAATACAGTATCCATGGTATAGATTTATGGAAAATAGGAAACAAGGATGGAGCGAACTGATTGTTTTAGACGAACAAGGGATTTAGCCTGGCCACATGGTGCCTTATAAAATATTTTTTAAAGCTGTGACCAGTAATGGCATATCAAATGTTTATTTATGCCCAATTTATTCCCAAATGTATGTAACACATGAAATGAATAATATAAATTAAATTTCCTTCAAATTATCTTTGTGCTCATTCATTTATCCAATTTTTATTCCCTGGACACCTATTGTGTGCCAGGCATCCCCTGTGGCTTTAGGGATACAAGTAGGAACAAGTCTGACATGGCTCCTGCCCTAAATGCTGTTGAAGGTATTGTAAAATCTTCCTAAGCAGGCATAATGGCATTTTATAGGACCTTTTCATCAGAGTCCTCACCAGCAGGGAATAGCCCCCATTTAGACCTTGTAACTCTTACAGACTGGTATATGATCTTTGTCCAAGGAAGCAGGTTGATTTCTATTTTTAATGATTTAAGCATATGCACACATAGGGCCATGTAGTCAGTGGTGCCCCAAGCTATACTTCACCACTAACACCTATGTGTACATAAGTTTCAGTGCTGAAAATCCATGTGCAGTTTCTAATGTCAACATCTGAGTGTCACACATCTGGGAGTCACAGATAAGGCCTTTAAGTAAATCCAGTTGCTCCATAACCTATCATGTATCCATTACTTAGGAACCATAAACCTTCCTCAAGTCTATGGTCAACTGCAAAAGACTCAAGACCCTATCAATTTTTAGAAATAATATTAACAGTTCAACGAGTGAGATACAAAATATGACATTAGAGCACAGGGCTCTCTACCATTTAGGAACTTACGTTTTGAAAGTGTCAGTTACCAAAATATTTCCTACACATTTTAGTTCTGTGATTACAGAAAGCAATTGTTATCTGACATGATAGCAATAACTCCTTACAGTCAAAAGGCAAGCACCCATCCATCACAGGCATCACCTACTTTGAAAGAAAGAAAGAAAGAAAGAAAGAAAGAAAGAAAGAAAGAAAGAAAGAAAGAAAGAAAGAAAGAAAGAAAGAAAGAAAAAAGGACTTGGAGGTCATTTATAAAACAAAACAATATTAACCAGAAACATATGACAACAGAATTTACTCTGAAAGCACATATATATGAGACACTAAAAAATAAAGAGGTTATATTTAACCCCTAGAAAAATGTACATTTTTACTTGAATTCCATAGATCTAAGCAATTATGAAATGTTTACAATGAAATGCAATTTTTACAAAAGAAGAGGAAACATAGGGGTGGTTACTAATGACAATGACAAGAGAAATAAAAAATAGTAAAATAGTACACTCAGGGTCAAGTGGGAAGAAGAAGAAAATTAAGGCATAGGTTTTAAAAACTTAAAAACAGCAAATCCCTGGAAAAGAAAATGATAAAAGGATGAGTAGGAATATATATATATATATTCACACACACACACACACTCCATTTTTCCCCCTGCCAATGCCACTTACTCCAGGCAAAAAGAGAGAAGAAAGAAAGAAAGAA